AAGACCCTGTTCACTAGCGAGGCATGCTGGCGAACAAACTGGGATGTGAAAGAAGTCTGTGGTATTATGGTGCCTTTCATGAGAAGATATAGGTTGTTGATTTGGTGTCTGGGACAAGCTTTACATCATTCATTTTCCTCTGAGATACATCAGATTCATGAATTTGTTTATTGTGAAAAAGGAAGGATATTTATACTGTTTTATTTTGAACTGTGTGCCATTGCTGTTGTAGCTGTAAATGTATTATCCGTGTACATGTGGCTAGGAAGCTGTTTTGTTTCCCTATTAGAGCTCGTCTTTGTATTAGGTATACTTTATTGCTCATATTTGATGTTTTTTGTGTGGTGTTGTGAATTTTGATTAAAGTGAACTTTGTTTTTATTGTTTCTTTTCTGCTGTATTCTTTTTATTTGTTTATTTGTTTTTGCACAATCATGTTGTGACATATATGAACAGTTTTGTGACAAGACACGATATAATATCCATTTTTCCAGTTTTGAGAAAAATGAAAATTTCTGCTGTGCATCCATTTTCTGAATAATCTTGAGCAAGTTCGGTTATAGAGTAAGCATAATTTAAGACTAAGCTGATATTCACTTATTGTTGAAATCTATACTGGATTCTCATCCTTTAAGTTGAAGAAAAAAGCTGCACATCCACATTACAGTAATGAGGAAAGAAAAAAAAAACCACAAACAAACTTTCATCGACCACAAGCTAAGTAACGTGACTTGAGGAAAGAACTTGATTGGTGTGCAGAGGATATGTCACGGTTTGCCCAAAAAAGATCTACCACTTGTCTTGCGTTTTGTAAAAAAAGCTTAACTTTCCGCAGTTCTTTAAAAAAAAATGTTGTTTTGTGGGGAAAAAAGTTGACTTTAGAATGTGCCTCACATAATTTCTACAGACGACGGTACCAATTTCGGCCAAACTTCGAAAATGGCAGTTGTTGCGTTTTGTTGTGTATTTCGTGTATTGAAAGATAAAAAAAATTCTCGTCATAAATTCTTTTCAAAATCTCTTGTATGCAAATTTCTGGAGGAAAGAATATTTTGACTTGAGGTTTTAAAAATTCTTTTTATCACTTTCCTTGTTATGTGCTTGAGATCTACTGCAATTGTCTTTGAATAAAAGATAATCAGCAATACTGTTTTGTTGCTGTGGTAATAGGAAAAAGGTTTTGAAAAATGTTTCTATATATTTATTGAAGTCATATATAAAACTGATTTTCCCTGTACAAAACCTTTTAATCCATTTTCTCTTCTTTTTATACTACTTACTACGTTCAACTTCCTGTGGTACTGTCATGACAAAAATATACTGATATTGAGTATCATAAACGCCTGCCTGCAAGCAGCTCAATTTTGCGTCATGCGCTCAAATGAAACCACTTGGCTTTTCACAGATACCGCAGCTGCTCTTCCTAGATTCACAGGATGGTTTGTTTCAGACGAAAAAATAAGTCGGGTAAAAAAGAAAGGTGTTTCTTTTTTATTAGAATTTATTTGTTCTGTGTTTAACTGCTCTTCGTTAAAAAAAAACCGAAACGTTATCGGCAATCTCTCATATTTTTCTTTCACTGGCCCCCTCTGGCTTTTCATTTTCCTGTCGCTGTCATAGTCTGAATACAGTAGAATCAGATTAAACCGAACACAGTTAATACGAGACCAGCTGTAAACCGTAAGAAAGTGTGATCCTTGATTTTAATGAAATATTCTATTTGAGCAACCTCTCTAAACCGACCTAGCCTATGATGTAGTGGTTTGGCGTGTCTTTGTTGCACGTTGGAGACTCAAGTTCGGTTCCCAAGTGGGGAAGATTTTTTCTTCAATTATTTCGGTCTTTATGCTGGGATGTTGTATCCCTCTCAACCTGGGTTGACCTTGGCTGGCAGGGTAAGAAGCCCACCTCCAAATTGATCTAAATCGTTTAGATTGAGGTGTAAAAGTACCTACTTAAGAAAAACCCAACAAATTCTTTACCAAAAACCCAGCTAAACTGAAGAGAATCCGGCGGTCCCGGAGATTTCCGTTCAAGCGTACCCCACTGTAGTTCAAAAAGTTAAAGTCATAATATTAATATTATGTTCTGAAAAGAGAAAAGCTTTATTTTGATACCATGCATTCGTGCCGACCTAGAGTGTGGAAAGAACGCGAGCATTATGAAGATTGTGAAGGTTAAGTAAAGTCATTGTTATCAATTAAATAGATTATTATACTTTGATTAGTATTGGCAGAAAGGCCGCCACGTTCTCTTTTAAACAGAAAAAGAAATTGACGGAAGTACTTAATGCACCTGAGGAAAAATAGCGTGCACGTGTATTTGTGTATGTTTGTGTGTGTGTGTGTGTGTGTGTGTGTGTGTGTTTGTGTGTATGTTTGTGTGTTTTCTATGCGTGTGTTTTGACATAGACATAAATGCTACACGTATTATAGACAGGTAAACACAAGCAACAGAGATATACATGGGGCGCGTGCTGTTACTGTACTGTAAAGTACTTCTCGAAAATGAATGCATTCATTTTCCAGGTGTTCAATAAAAAGTTTTAATATTAACTTCTTTATACAATACAATCGATAGGAGTAGACTTCAGCCGCCACCCGGCCAAAATTCAAAATTTCGTACCAACTGTAAAAGTTTAATGTATCCGTTGCGCTCATATTACCTTATGAGTCAGTCAGATTTCTTTGAAATGAGTGTCAAATTTCATCTTTTTGTTGAATCTGTGCGGGAAATTACACCAACAGAGCCTTAGCAAAAATGAAAAGAAAAACCCATAACTTGTAATACCGAATACTAGAGGGATTCAAGAAGTCTTTGGTCAAAATATAAAGGAATAAAGATCGATCTAGAGCTTTGTAACTTTGCACACATACATATGTCAAATGTACTTTATTTTCTCTACGTAATCATCATGCAGGGTAACACATTTCTGCCACATCTCTTTGAAAGTCTTCAAAAGTCCTTGAGAAAAAAATTACCCAGAGTGGGCCCCAAACCAGTCTTCCTCAACTACAAGGGCGTTCTTGTTGTCATGGAAACGACGTTCTTTCAGTGATTTTTTGAGATTAGGAAAAGGAAAAAAGTCTGAAGGTGGTAAGTCTGGTGAATAAGCTGGGTGTGGAAGGATTTCAAAGCGTTTTGCAGTCTGGACTGCTTGTTGTGCCCTGTGCGCAGGGGCGTTGTCTTGTAGTTCTCACCAATTCGGACCGCAGTTTTATTGGTAAACCCAAATAGTAGTCCCATGTGACTTTTTTCCCATTTTCCAGGTAGTCACTCATGATGATATGATACCCCCTGGGGCGGTGCCACTGGCTGGAGTGTCTTTGGGCCATTCCTGCTGCTTTTTCTTCCCCAATCCTTACTATTGTCATTTTCCTCTAATACTTTTGTATGTTTGTCACACACTTGTGACCCGCTATTTCCGGGGTGCCTTGAAAGTCGAAACAGACTTTATGCTGTTGAAGCTTGAGAGGTGAGCAGAGTAAGCCTGATTCCCTGTAAAAACTTCTCTGTTGACATCCACCCATGGGCGCTCATAATATGTCCTTGTGCAGTTGTGAGTGCCGTAAAACCTCTACTAAATAATATAATAGAAATATACTCATGATGATACCTTCACAATCCAAGAAACGCGACGTGGGCAACGCGCAGTCAAAATTATACAATTTTATGCATATTTTCTTATTTATATTTATATTAGAAGTGGCGGATTTTAGTAGGCTACATGAGGTAAAAATGTGAGTATCCTTTTAGTAAGTTTTAGGGGATAACCGTTTTACCTACTTTAGTATAATCCCATGCTATCTGGCACAACTGTCACATTTTTCCACTGAAAAACTTTCTTTACTCGCCAGTGCAAGGAAAAAGGCTAATCATTATTGCTGAGATTCCGGCGCCGGTCTGTATACAGTGAGCTCGGGGTGGGGTTCCGGGGGTGCAGCCTGGAACTGTCAGTTTGCTACAACTATTCTAGTGGTACATGTTGTTGTACGTTGTATTGGTGAAAGAGCGAGAAGGAAAGAGAGCTAAAAGTGAGAGAGAGTGAATGAGTGAATGTGTGAGTGTATATGTGTGTGTGTGTGTGTGTGTGTGTGTGTGTGTGTGTGTGAGAGAGAGAGAGAGAGAGAGAGAGAGAGAGAGAGAGAGAGAGAGAGAGAGACGAAAAGACAGACAGATACAGGCGGTCAGAGACAGGCAGACAGATAGACTACATTAAATGTGCAAACACAGTGGATTCGCCCTCCCCACCTTTTTGCGGGTATCCGCCTCGCCTGCTGTTTTTTTGGCGAATGCTGTTTTTAATCAACAACAAATGCGTTGCGGGCGCTACAGTGGGTTCGCCTTTCGTCCCTTTCGCTTCACTCCCTCATTCTGTTAAAAAAAAAAAGAGAGGGTTCGTCAACCAAGGTCTGCCCTTAAATTGTGTTTGCCTTCTTTCGCCCCGCCGTTCCCACTGTGTACATTCATACTTGTAGGCCTAATGGGTGTTTTTGTTGTGGGCGCCCCGCCTGTTCCACTGTATATATTCTAGTATCGTCATGACAGTTATGTGTTGTCTTTCATCATTTTGATTTACACCTTGACTGATTAGAACTGAATTAGAAATTATGGACCAAGAAATCACATCTGTAGAAAAAAGACCAGCCCTTTATTACAAGACAGACATGCATTATAACAACATAAATTATGTAACTGCTGAATTGAAAAGAACGTTACAGAGGAAGTTGGATGTACTGGTAATTTTGACGTCTTCATTTCAACCAGTACAAGAACATCAACTTCAAAGCTGTCATCTTTAGATCTGAACAAAAAAAGGGGAGTGAAGGAAGGCGAATCCACTCTATCGCGTCATGTCCCAACTCATTCGCCTCCATTTCCTCACATATTTGAGGAGGCGAAAAGGGAGGAAAGAACAATCCACTGTGTTTGTACCATAACCCTTCACTCTTCTCTCTAAAGACGAAAACAAAGAAAGTGTTGGAACTCAGATATATGCTTTGATTTAGGTTTATTATGCAAAATAATCTTTCCAGCACCAATCGTGTGTGGTCTGCTGAGCCTACATGTGATGCTTCTCACATATGAACTTCGCATGGGTGTTGCAAGCAACGTCAAAAAATAAAGTTTTGGTGTATTGTTTTTTTGTAAAAGCACAGTCCTCATGTGAAGTCGCACCGTTCGGTTCATCTGAAACAGTGTAACTGAATGTAAGTGGCTGCTGGCCAGCGCAATGACACACCGTATTGCCCTCAAGGGGCATCGAAATCTGCAAATTGTACTGCTTGAGAGACTGGTGTACTATTTTCTGTACCATTTCGTGTTTCTTCTGTCTCTCTGTCTTACCTTGTTCAAACGTTAACTCTCTGATTTTCTGCCACTGTACTCTTTCTTTTGTAAACACAAACAATAAATGGAGGGACAATATGGCTGTTTAAAATTGACAGGATAATAATGTTTTGACGCTCGAGGAGCAGCAATGTTTGCTTTGCTTTGAAGAACTTGTAGTCGATGTACGGATAAATGAAGATTCTGTTTGATTTGGCGATGGGCAAAATTCATATTTATGTGTACTTTTCAATACTGCTCTTTATGTAGGCCCTATTCATTAAAATGTATATTTTTAGATAGTAAACGCATCTAAGCATCTTAAGCGTGTGTTCCCTATTGATATGTTGGCTTGAACTGCACTTCATTATGAATCATAACCTATACCTAGACTGAAACCGTTTCCAACAATATTGGAGTTACTAGTCTTATATATTCTACCGATAAAAGTTTTAAAAGAGAAGAATGAGAAGGAAGGGAAAGATATACATGTATTATTCTAATCACACCTGTAAAATAGTAAAATATCCCTTACACCTTCTTTGATTCCTGGCATAATACTACTACTACTATTAATCATCGTGCAACCAACACGTCATCCCTGTGCAGACAGAGAGGTACGCTTCAACTACCTCTCACGTCATTCCTGGAGATCTACAAAGCAGGCGAGATTAGAACCGTTATGATCCTGAGAGAATCAAGGGATCACGAAATTAGCGGCAAACCTCCAGGTGTAAAAGAAGCCAGAAAGTGGAAGGCAGAAGTTGCAACTGACGAGATCATCTCTGCATTGGAGCATGGCGACATTGTCGGTCCCGCACAACCTGACAGATTGGGGCTAGGTAATGGCGACTTTAGACCTTTCAGGATAATGTCTCAGCGAGACAGAAGAAACGCTGCAACATGACATATGCGAAAGATGGAGGCTGAGAGGCGAGAAGTTCATCTCATCCAGTGTAGCCAGAAAGGTCAAATGACCAGATGGGAACAGCGTGTAGTCGAAAAAAAAGTTAGTTGGAGTGACATCTGGAAGTGGAGCTCATCTAGACTAAGCTTTCTTCTCCGGTCTACGTATGGTGTTTTGCCTTCACCGCTGAACCTGGTCAGACGGAAGGTACAGGAGGTTAACAAGTGTAGATGCGGTAAGCTAGGAACCAGGAAGCATATTTTGTCAAACGACAACCTGGCTCTTAACAGGTACTACTGGAGACACAACGAGGTACTGAAAGTGCTCACCACGATGGCGACGAAACAGGAGGAAGAAGGAAAATACGCCTCAAAGCTACAGAAGCATGGACTAACCAAGATTGAGTTTGTTCCGCAAGGAAGCAAGGTGCCCAACAGAAAGAAAGCAAACGAAGTCATGAAAGATCAGAGCGGAGGCACATGGGATGGGAGGTAGCTGCTGACTTAAAGTTAAAGGGCTTCGAGACATTCTTCCCCATCCAAACAACGAAAAAGTCAGACTTGGAGTTATAGGAGGAACAAGAGAGGGAGGTGCACCTGGTGGAGCTCAGGGTGCCTCACGAAGACAATATCAATGCTGCACATGAGCGGAAAGAAAACCTATATGAGGCGCTTGTCGAACAATGTGAGGAGGCAGGTTGGAAAGCAACCCACTTTCCGGTTGAGGTTGGATGCAGAGGCTTCGTATTAACTAGCGTCCGCAAGTGGATGAAAGTGACCTGACTTACTGCAAAGAAAAGTAACGAACTCATACATTCCCTTCAACTTCAAGAGACAGTAGAGACAGCCAATCACTGGAGCGAGAGGACGCAGGCTGCAATGAATCCTAGAGTTAGCAGCAGAGGAAAACAGTCGGCCTGGCAAAGAGACCTCACATCGGTGAGGGGACTCGGTGCGTCAGAAAAGCTGTAGCGAGGAAGAGCCCGAAACAGCGACGCATTCTCTCCTGATGATCTCCACGCTACAGTCCCGGATACGGAGATTTCGGCTGTGAGAAGTGCAAAAGGCTGTTTTAGACTACGTGATTCCAACCATAATACTATTAATCATGTCTCTCATGTGGAGCATATCTGGGAAGTCATGATCTGAAGGGAAGATAGTAGTAGTAGTGCTTGAGCAATCTGCATTCCCTGTGTCTACGCTCAGCTTCAGGCAAAGCTGTGTCAAGCGTCCTGCTTTAAGATAGTCTACCAGAAGCACAAGCCGTGGATATCTGCCACCTCTCTGAGGAAGATAGAGGACCGGAAAAAGAAAAAGGGATCAGGTAAACAAGTGCAAGACAAGAGCAGCCAAAGCAAAGGCCCGAGAAGAATACACCAAAGCAATGAAGGATGTAAAAGTCACCATACGGAAAGACAAAAGAAACTATGTAGATGACCTGGCGCGCAAGGCAGTGGAAGCAGCGGGGGCAGGAAACATGACAGGGCTGTATGAAACCACCAAGAAACTTGCAGGAAGATACAGGAGAGCAGATGTGACAGTTAAGGATAAAGAGTGAAAGCTCTTCACAAATCAAGACGAACAGAAAGAACGATGGAAGGAGCATTTTAAAGAGCTACTGAACAGACCAAGGCCAGAAAAACAGTAAGACATTCCTCCAGCAGAGATTGATCTGAAGGTGAATGAAGAAAAGCCCAGTTTCTGGTGAAAGCAGGCAAGGCAGCCGGCCCAGATGGAATTCCCCCAGAAGTTCTCAAGGCGGAAGTCGACACTGCAGCAGGGATTTTTCGTGGAATAATTGCCAAGATATTGGACGGCGAATAATTTCCTCACGATTGGAGAGGATTGCTTGTGAAACTACCCAAGAAAGGAGATCTGCATGAGTGTAAAAACTACAGAGGAATCATGCTCCTTCCATTCCTGAGAAGATTTTAATTTAAGTCGTACCATACTGGAAAGACTAAAAAAAAGCCGTGGATGTAAAACTAAGAGAAGAGCTGGCAGGATTTCGTAAAAAAAGACCATGTACATATCAGATTGCAACTTTGAGTATAATAGTGGAGCAGTCCACAGAGTGAAACTCTTCCCTATACGTACATTTTGTGGAATACGAGAAAGCCTTTGACCGCCTAGATAGTGACTCAATATGGAATCTCGTGCGCCATTACGGAATACCTGACAAGTTCGTGAGATAGGTCAAAAAGATGTAGGCTATGAGGGAATGAGCTGCAGTGTCTTACTTGGAGGGCAGCGGAAAGATCCGTTTGAAGTGAAAACATGAGATGCCTGCTATCGCCTTTTCTCTTTTTATTATCAGTGGATTGGATAATGAGACAGATAACACTGGGACAGCACGGTGGCATTCAGTGGACCCTTTCCAGCCAGTTGAAAGACTTGTACTTTGCCGACGAATTGGCACTCCTTTCTCACAGTCGAGCACAGATGCAACAGAAGACAGATCGCCTCAGGACCTTCTCCCGTAGTGTTGGACTCCATATTCACACGGATAAAACGAAAGTTCTTCGAATGAATGTATCCGACGTTCCTATCACACTGCAAGGGACACTATAGGCGGATGTTGAACCCTCCACCTACCTGGGAAGTGTCATCAACAAGGCAGGGGAACAGACGAAGACATTAAGGTCAGAATCCAAAAGGCAAGAGTAGAGAGAGAGAGAGAGAGAGAGAGAGAGAGAGAGAGAGAGAGAGAGAGAGAGAGAGAGAGAGAGAGAGAGACCAGGACGCTAAATACCTTGCTGAAATAAGGTGCTCATCGGAACAATGGAATCGAAGAAACCGGTTTGACAATTTTTATCGACTTTTTTAGCTCAAAACCTTTCATGTCCATATAAAATCACATTTTTGTGTGGATTTGCACTGAAAAGTGTTGATTAAAGGCATAACATATTATGTAAATTTCCCCCTTCCAAGGACTCTCAAGCTATGGAAGTCACTAAACATTGGTGGCAACTTTCTCGCAAATTTCATTCCTAAAACCAAGCGACCCCCCCCCCCCACCCATTTAATAGCAAATATCTCCACTTCAGTTCAAGTTCAAGATAAAAGGGTTTAACAAAATCAAAAGTAAGGGGAATGAAAGTGCTTAAAGATCATTCCAGTAACTTCATATCCTCTAAAATCGTCGAGCACCTGATTCCATCTCATTGCGTCACATCGAAGTAAATATTTACAGTATCAAATTTTAATATCTCTAAAGTTGTTGTGCTGTTAATAGTATACATTTCCAGTCGTCTGTAGTGGAATTGTCACGATCTCTAACGTTGCAGGAACATGGCATGAGTTCGAATCCCTCACCGGGATGTTTAATTTCAATTAATTTCCTCCTTGCATTGTTTTCGAGGAGGCAACCTACACAGCTGGGTTGGCCGTCACTGAAAGGTGTAGGTGTTTTTATGCCACGGACAAACAGACCAACTCCACTGAAGGAAACATTCATAACCATAAGTCACTTATGACATACAGACGTAAAAACTCACTTGCGAAAAATATGGTTTCCCGCATCTCACTGGACATCTCTGTGCCGTCAGCATCCCATGTCCAGGTTCCTTCCTGTGCCACATCCGTCAACCCAAGCATGTAGTCGCCCGGATGCACCGCTACAATGTCCAAGAACAGTTGATACTTGGGTAACGTCTGGGCCCCGTACAGGTGACCTCCTTTATCTAATAGACGATAAGAGTGGGGACATGGGTACCGGTATTTTTTTAAAAATCGGAGAAAATAGAGCGAAGAGGAACTCACTCTTGAATATTGGTTATTGCAAAAGTTTCATTGCCCTTTCACAGTGGCGTCTTGTGAGATGGGGCCTGCAGCTTCAGCCTCACCTGTTTTCTTCTCCAAACAGTTACTTCTCAGACTAAAACCAAAAGTAAGCAATTCATACATCTTTTTTTAAGAGACAAAACATAGTAACGTATTCTAATTTAAGAAAGCGAAACTCAGAGCAACACCTAAACGAAACTTCTGAAGCGTAATAATTCAGAAAGTACTTTGATTGTTCTGAATGTATACTGCTACATATTTATAAAGACTACAGCTCCGTCCAATCAGGTGCCCCCTCCGTCGGGGACAATGGACTCCTATTGGTTTGTCCTTTTACTTGATTAGGTGCACCTACAGTAGTACATATTGTGTTTTTGGGAGCAATTATGAAAACGGGTTATCACTTATTATATTTACTGGATATCTCCTGAACACTGTCCAATGTATATAAGTGTTTCTGTACCCTAAAGTGGTGTTTAAAGGGATTTTAGAGGCGAGGGTAGGGACTTTATAAAATTACATAATTGCCACTTTTTTTCTCGAAAAGTGAGTTTTGTACCGCATAATTTTATGTGCTTCAGTTTTAGTTAGAATCCTCCATTCTATTTGTGCGGTGCTAATGTTATCAAGTAGTTGCCACATTTTAGTTTGAAGTACATGTATGTTGTGAAGGTTTTAACTGGAAAGAGAACTAGTTTGGCCTTTATTGACCTTCATCAGCCGTTTTCTCAAAATGCTATTTTAACGCTATTCATCCCATTTTACAGCATTTCGTTTAGCTCGATTTTAATGTAACTTTCACAGAATGTTAACACCTTGTTCCAAAAATTGTATTGAGGAATTTTTTAATACATATTATGTAGCTTGTGATAAATGGCCTCCGAAAGTTTGAATTGTCCACTTTTTTCACAGTTATGCAATATTCCGACTTCTATGTGCCGTAAAATGAAAACTAAAGCATACATGAAAAATTCCTCAAACCAATGTTTAGATCCATACTTTTTCTACGTAAATTCCAAATTACATGTATTTGTTGATAAACAAGTGAATATAACGGGATAAAAATAGGTCTACAAAATCCAATATGGCCGCTGTTTCCATGGAAACCGAACCAGATTTACTTTTTTAAAGGGGAGGGGGGGTCCCACCTATTTTTGGTCAATCTGGGCCAAATTGGGTATTACAATATTTGTTGCCTTTTCTCAGTCATTTCTATGTTGATTTGATTGTCCTTTGGCACAATCGTAGCTAATTGGGTGCCCAACAGTTTTTTTTCTTATATTGATATTCTATCTTCACTAATTAGAGAGGTATCTCATTTTTTGTCAAAAATATTTGATTTTTTAATTTTTGACACATTTTTCGAAACTCCTCTGCAGATTACAGGTGTATCTTGCTGGCACTTGGCATACTTGTTGCCCATAGGGGTGGTTATATTACATAGTCAGCGATTTTTTATATCTGTCTTGGTTTTCATTTTATGATTTTTAAAATTTGGAAAAATGACCGTTTTTTGCATTTTTGACAAGATTTGCACGCTTCTTCCTGTAACTACGAAACGAAATAAGACATCGAAAGATACTGACTATGTTTAACGTATATGCCTCTTGGGTACATGTGTGCCAAAGGACAATAAAATCCATCTATAAATTTCAGAGGAGTATCGATTTGAAAACCTGATGTGAAAATCCAATATGGCCGCCATTTTTATGGCGGCCATCTTGGATCCTGGAAATTTTTTTTTCATCGTAATACCTGTATCATGACGAAGTTGTATGCCAAATTTAAGGTTTCTAGGTCCAGAAAGAAAGGAGTTATACAGCTCGCTTGTGGGGACCCCCCCCCCCCCTTAAACAATAGATTTAAAATCTACAAATGGCACGCGATAGCCGAGATAGCCTTCGTGTGCCCCAAGTTCCCATATACTGAATATCACTAGGGTCGAGCTTGACCTTTCGTGGCTCAAGACCGAAACAATGCAACTGATGACTCTATTAAGGCTGAAACCGCCCTATATCACGTGATAAAGTATCGCATCTTTGACTTCGGCACCAAATTTGTATACTCTGGCGGCTCTAGGCCAAAAGGTAGACTGAGCAACACCCACCCCCCCCCTTTTCACCCCTCAGCTCTTTATGTGCTCTTTGGTTAATGGGGAGGGGGGGATACACCTGAAGGCTATCTCGCTTATTACTGGACCATATTTTACCAAACTTCACACATATAACAAGCATAGTTAGGAGTCTTAATAACCGCAATCAAATTTTAGAAAAAATTTCGTTTCCATGGATATGGCGGCCATATTGGATTTTGTTGACACGTCTTACGTAATGAATACCGCACTTACTGCTCATGGAAATTGATTGTTTTTGTTTGGGTTTTTTGCATACGTGTTAACAAACATTAGATCTAAAAATTTATCTGTTGTTTTTTCCGTAACCGAATTTTAAAACTTTTAATGAATTTTTTTCTGAGGTACCATTCAAGTTTACAAAAAAATCCGTGAAAATTCACACTCAAGACACGACCAACAAAAAACTATTTCAAATATCAAAAATTCAATCAATACAATTTTAGTATTACATCTTCTCTTCATTCTGTGAAAATTTCATGAAGATTGGATGAAAAATGGTGGTTATTCAAAAAAGTATAGAGAAAAGTCGCGTTTTGAGAAAATAGCCGGTAAAGAAAAATAAAATATTGACTTTATGAGGAAATGGTGGTGGTAGACATGCCCGGTATGGGGAAAAATACGGTTTTGGGGGTTCTTATGCGATGAAATAGTTATAGGAGAGGCTGAAGAAGCTAAACATTCCTACAACTTAAATTCCATAATTTTGAGCCGAATCGGGGCTTTGGGGATGTAGCGTCCCCCCCTTAAGGCGTCTCATTGTGATTATGTCAAAGGGATAAGATTGTGTCTACGCTGGAATGAAGTTTTGAGCGTGTTAAATTTAAATGCTAGTGATCCCTTGCGTGTGTACTGTGTACACTTGTGTTCTGTGTGTGTGGATCAGACAAATAATGGAGCATGCGCCGTTGTATTGTGTCACTGAGTTGGGGCAGTGACAGGGACCACATCAAACCGCAGCATTTTCGCGCATCCTTTGTAGATGGAAAGCAAAAGAGATATTTTAATTATGAATGATTCATCATGAAAAATGCACATTTCAACCAAATATTCATCGGCAAATTTGCTCGATATAAAAATCGGACAAAAATCATGGAATATAAAAACGCATAGGTGAGTTAATTTTCGTAGTTTCAAACGTGGCATTGCCACAAATGAGATTATAGCACTATAAAATCTATTAATATTTTTTACATTTTTATATAATATTAGTATGGTTCACTGTCTTCTCAGTCATTATGCGTCTTTTTATAATCTGAGTGATCTCAATGTTTGGTCAGAGTAAGTTTCTATCCACCCCAACCCCCGACTCTACAGCCTTTCCATCACTGTAAGTTTATTCAAAGATAGGACCTCAGAATCTAAAGTTCATCTCCGATAGGACCGAGCTAAATGGCTGGAGGGAGAGCCTTAATAACTTTCTAAATCAACCCAAATTCAGTATAGATCTACCCCGTATGGATTTGAACCAAGATCATCCGCTCCAAGGTGTCGTATTATACCAACTGATCTAAACGTGCGCCCTACATGTTAACACAACTTTGTAAGAAAACAAAACATTAAAGTAAAGAAGTCTCTATGTGTGCACCCCTACGGTCAGTGGTGCTGAAATTGAGAAACATGAGTGATACATTCACTCACACTCATGTAGGTAGTCCTTCGTTGCCGAAAATGACGATGAAATCCTGCAGCTCCTCTGTGGCGTATAATCTGATCTTGGATGTGCAATTTTGTTGCAGTGGGGACACTGGAATGTCGTGGTTGGGGTGGTTGGATTATGTCTCCTCTCTCTTTTGATAATCAGCTTCTCCCTGTAGTTGATATCGCTGTTTCTGCTGACAAGATGGACGGCCCTGCGCCAAGCGTTCCTTTCGGTGGCACTTCTAT